ATTAATTATGGTTAACAAAAAAAACCAATAAAAAACAAACCAAATCCATATCCAATCACACCCCTTAGTCCCTGTGATTGATTCGTAGTCAACGAATTTTTCATTTTAACATTAGTCAATCAGAAATGAAAGTAGCGAATTTATACTGCTGGGGCATTTTATGATGGCATGTGCAAGAATAGACTCAGAAGCATACTCCTAAAGATTCATGCATTTCATTGTAACTATAGCCTGACAAATGAACCCTGAAGGGCATAGTTTAGTTGATAAAAGAGAACCAACTGCAATATATTTTAAGAATGGGCTGACAAGATTTCGGGCCAACAGAAAAACACCAAATTGTTTGAATCAGAAAAATTCAGATTGACAAAGCCTAAGGAAACTTGAACACTCATCTTCAAATGTAACGACTCTAACAGCAGGACCGAATTTGCAAATTAATTAGTTTGACACAAGAAGAAGCCTACGATGAAAGCTAAAGTGCACCAAAGAAAGTGGGACTTACAGGAGGGAAGCAGATGGCAAGCTTGCAGTTTGAATACTGGCCCTAAATCTGACAGCATTTGCCAAAATCAATGCCTAAGGCAATTTGAAAACCTAGACCATTATCCTGCATTTAAAATTGCTGTTATTCTATCATTTGTTGAAGGATTTTTAGGTTGCCTAGATCAGATGACATGCTATGTACGAGAAGTAGGATGCTGAGGGTGTAAGAGGATGTTACGGATTCCTGCTTACATTCTACATATTCCAAGAAAATGTGTTCATTTATCATGAGACATCAAAAACAAAAAAATATGAAATCCAGTTTAGTTTACTTACAAGACCCAAAACATTAAGCAAAACAAACAACTGTCTAGATTTTGTCCAAGAATATCCATTCGCCAGTTTAAAATATAACTTTCGTCATCTTTTAATTCTTTACTGTTTGTTATCACAAACAAAGCCCTACGAAATCATGAACCTACATCCCACAATATATTACCTTGGGTGTGGGCCTTTCGCCTGTCCTTCAGCATCTTCTCATGAATGCCATCGAGCATGGAAATGAAGAATTCATGTGCATCCTGTTGCTCATAACTTGCAAGATTCGAAGCATGTTGCCACCAACTGCAACAACAAAAAATATGCCAACGAGGACATCCATGGAAATTAAAGGTAGGTGCTCATAAGAATAAAACATATTCGCATACAAGACAGTATCAAAACTTGAAAACAGACTACCAAAAGTCGTCCGTAGTAACTTGGCTGTACACAACATGGGCAAAAGAATATGAAGTCACTTCATTTCCCAGATTCGAAAAACTTAGCTTAACATAACAATCCCATATAGAGAGCGAGAAAAAAATCCTGTCTTCAAACATAACTCAAAGCGAACCTGTACAAGAATTTTGCTGGGCTGTACGGCATTCGCTCCCCTGAGAATACAGCCGAGTAGATAGCATCCAAATCACACGCTAGACACAACAGGGCATTCTTATTGTTGCCTTTATTGATATCACTCTTCCGAGTAAGGATTGTTCTGTTTTCTCTTTCACAATAAAACCTATTGTGCTTATCACTCAAGAAATAATTCCTCAAAGGAGGCGTATGAAGAAGTGCCTGCAACACCGAGTTCATGAAGCACGTGTTCCCGAGATTGCTGAGCCCACGCAGCCCCCAAGGAACAACTAATGAGTCACTGCCGGGTTGACCAGCCGAGTCATCGCTGAGTTGATTCGGTGGCAGGGGGCTAGAATTCTCCGCAATGAACGCCCGCTCCTTCAGATCGGGAGTCCAAGGTTTGTAATCCACCCGCCTCCGCTTCCGCAGATTCTCCGGCGGAACGAGCGGCCCACCTCCGGCGGCGGCCGACACGACGGCGGCGTCGAAATCGCGGTCGTACACCTGGTCACCGCACGCGCAGCAGAAAAGCTCGGCCCTTTCCACGTCGACCGCCACGAGATGCGAGGTGACCGCCGCGTGGGCGGCGAGGTGCGCGCTGCACACGACGACGGCGCACGACACGCAGGCGTAGAGCCTCGGCGGAGCGTGGCCACAGGTGTCGCACTGGACGACGCTCTCCCCGCGGCGGATGGAGGCGCGCCCGAGGGGACGGACGCGGATACAGTCGCGAAGATTTCGGAAAGGGTCCGGGCCAAGCTGGGACCGGAGCTCCGACAAATGGTGGCAAGAATAATTAGGGTTTACGGAATCCGTCGAATCCGAAAGCAATCTCTGAGATTCGGCCGCCGGTGGGTTTTGGGTTTGCTTGTGATCCGATGATGTCATTGAGCTTGGTAAGCGCACTTTGGAATGGAATAATCAAAAGAATCAAACCAAATTTAGGGTGGAGCAGAGGATGATAGAGGTCGGCAACAGTAAGCAAGTACAGTACAGTACAGTACAGTCAGATCTAAGGTGCATTGACCTTAAAATACATGCGTGGGCGACCGATTAGCTGTCATTAGATTTTGTTCTTAGGTCTCAATGTCCGGTAATAAAACAGCAGAAAGAGCTATTGGATATCTCTACCTTCTTCATTTTATTTTT